GGGATTCTCGTCACAGCCACCCCCTGGGAGCAGGGATAGCGCATCCTACCCCATCCACAGCCAGGCCCACCCCCTTCCCCAGCTGCTCTCAGCCGTCTCCTTGTCCCTGCTGCGGCCGGGCAGCTCAGGAGCTGCCTGACCTTTGTCCTGCTCCCAGGAGGCTGCAAGGCTCTGAAAGGAAGGAGGCTGGGGTGGCACAGGAGCTCCTTCCCTTGGTTCCCTGAGGCCCCCGGGCTCAGCCTGAGGATGAGTCTGGGGGTGGATGACAGCCTTGTCCTGGTGGCCCTGAAGCCTCCCTGTGTGACAGTCACAGTCACACCTTCTTCTGTTCCTCACACCATATCTGAGCACCACCTTGTGCCCTGCAGGACGTGGGCCCAGGGCACACAGAGATATCTTGAACATCCCTGCCCCAAAGGAGTCCACAACCCAGTGAACTGTCCCTTATTATGCATCAAGTGTGCCACTTGATGTCCATCGCCTCATTTAACATCAACCCTCCCAGGTAGGGGTTATTATGCCCATTTTACAGGTGAGAAACTGAGGCTCAAAGGGGTTAAATAACTTGCCCAAGTGGCAGAGCGGAGTCTGTCTACCGCTTGAGTCTGGGCTCTTTCCGTCTCCACCATTCAGGATGTGATTGAGGGTCGAGTTGGTGGGTACCAAGGTCTGTGCAGAAGTGGTCAGGGAAGGGAGGTCTTCGGGGGCTGGAGGGATGGGAAGCCTTCCTGAAGGAGAAAGAGGTTTGGCCTTGAGGTGGACCCCAGAGAGAGGAGAGAGGAATCCCAGGGGGGTGAACTGGGCCTAGATGGCCATACTGGGTCCTAGAAGGCAAGGGCGGGTTTTGGGGAGAGCTGCTGGGGGCTGGCTCCCTAGGAGGCCTGCAGAGGACTGCCTCCTGTCAGGACACCTGGGTTCAGTCCCACCTCCACTCCTCCCCAACTCGGTGACCTGGGGTACGCTGCCCAACCTCTGACTTACCTCCACGCACCTGGATTGGGCCTTTGCGCAAATTAGCAAGAGGCGCCCCTTCCCCAGGACCCTTGACGGGTGTCTGCTGGAAAACTGTCATGACAAAGCTGTGCGTGGATAGTGACCACCATGTGAGGGGCACTGCTCAGTGGGGGGGGCCACAACCTGCTCAGCCATATGTGGTGGTCCTCCTCTGAGGCTCCGTGTCTTCATTTGCTCTCGGATGGGGAGATACCCACAGATAAATAACCCCGGGCATCGTGCAGACCATGAGAGGTGATCAGGGGAGGACAGTGGATCCACCGTCCCCCCCAGCGTGGCAGTGGCCCACAGCCCGCGTCTCCCGGGAGCAGGGCCAGGCTGGCGCATTAAGGGATGGAACAGGCCTCTCTTCTGTAATGCCCCCGACAGGGACCATTAGTACCGTGGAGCCTCTGTCAGTGGAGCTGCTCCCCCCACTTCCTCGCACCACTTCCTGGCCTTCCCCTCCCCTTTCTCCCAGCTCCTGCCCCTCAGGTTTTTCCTCTGATTGTTCTGAGTGGCCGTCTCCCTCCCCCGCCATGGTGGGGCCTCTTCACCCCCATCTGCAGGCTCCCTGTGGCCCCGCGGTCTCTGGCTTCCAGCTCCCGGGACTTTCATCCCTATGGGGCCCCCACCCCAGCTCCTGACCGTTTCTGATAATGGGGTTCTTAGGTCCTTGTTGCTTAGGCCCTGCCCCCATCCCTGCCATGCCCTGGGTGCCTCACCCACCTGCCTCTAATCTGGTCACCCTGGCTGGTTCCCAGGGGAGGGGTAGGACAGCCATCATTCTTGCCCTGTCCTCCCTGCCCCACTGTCAGGATCTGGCCAAGTGAGGACAGTGTGCACAAGACCCCTGTCTGTCATGGGCCCTCCCTGCCTCTGCAGTCTTCCTGGCCATCTGTCAGCATTGCCCCTGGGTCCTACATCACAGCTCGCCACAGGACATCTCCCCCACATCTTCATCAGTGTCCCTGCCCCTGCCACTAGCCCCTTGGTCCCACCACATATCAACTTCCGGGCTGCTTGCCTGGGACAGGGCCAATCATAGGTGGAGGCTCGCCCCTAACTGGGCCCCTCTCAGAACCTTCTCTGCTGGTCAGAGCTGCAGTGACCTTGTGCCTGCTGAGGTAGAGCTATCTCTGTGGACAGGTGGCCACTCACCACGGCCAGCACGAGATCCACAGAAGACTAAGGGCTCCTCTGTGGGGGTGGGTGTTAAGCCCCCGGTGAACTCTCTCCTGGGTGGGTATACTCATGTCGGGGTAGGAAAAAGGGTGTTTCCTCACCTACCACTGCATTACCAAATCTTTCTTAAGTTCCTACCCCACCCTGGGGATGTGAAGACCACCCAGATCTTCGAGGCACTTACATTAAAGCAGGGGAGACTGACACACAGTCAGACAGTTGTAGAACTGCAGGGTCTGTGCTATAACAGACACGGGCGCAAGGGTTGTAGGAGCTCTGAGGGGATGAGAGTCTCCCTGCTGGGACAGGGATGGCCTCGGGGAGGAGCAGGAGTTGCCCCGTGGACCAGGCTGCTTTCTAGGTGGAGGGTATGGCTTATGCAAAGGCCCGGGGCTTGAAAGCCTGTTTGAAGAACTACGCGTGATTTGCTGCATGGCGTGTAAAGTGCGTGTATGGAGCAGAGGCGGGGGCTGGGGCCGCAGAGGTGGGCCTGGGCTGCGGGGCTCAGGCCAGTGGGACTCTCCAGCTGGGGCGTGACATGACCACAGGTGGATCAGTCTTGGGAGACCCAGATGTTTCAGCTGGCCGGGACCCGCCAGCGGCATCTGCGGGAAATCAGGGCAAATGATTTCTTATTTGCTCACTCTTAGAAAGACTAGCCTGGGGGATACTGGGCCGGTCATGGTGGGATTGCTGGCTCAGATGTGGCAGGTGGGCCAGCCCCTCTGGAGCCAGGGCCCCAGGGCCCAAGCGCAGGAAGCAGGACTGAACTGCAGCCCTTCTCTGCTCTTCCCGACAGTCCCAGTCATTCTCTGGCCGGCGGCTGCCAGGGTTCCATTGCTCCAGGAGGGCACGTGGCTTGCCCTGCTCCTGGCCAGGGTCTTCATTCCTGAGCAAGGCTGGGCCTCGCCGCGCCTGGCGCTGGGGCTCATGCCATTCTGCATGAGGGGGGCAGATGCAAGTGGCCTATTCTCTGAGAAGCCATCCCTCCACCTGCTGGAGAGACAGCTCAGGCTGTTGTCACCTTCACATCTCTGTCTAGGTACAAAGTGGGGCTAAGCAGGGTGGTCTGGCTCTGCATGTGACCGTGAGTGGAGATTGTCACCCAGGCTCGATCCCCCCGGGCCTGAGCTAGGCCCGCAGCGGGTGCTGAGGGTGTGGGGTCATGACTCATCGGGGCCTGAGGGCCTCTCCCGCATGCCAGGAGGGGAAAGCGTGCCCGCAGATGCGCTGACTGAGCGCTGACTGCTTGCCAGCCATGGTCTGAGCACTCGACTTGTATCATCTCATTTAATTCCCACATCAACCCCATGGTGTGAGTGCTATCATTGTCCTCATTTCACAGAGGAGGAAACTGAGGCACAGAGTGGTTCTGTCCGAGCTTATACAGCACCTAGGTGGTGGGCAGGGAGTCCGGAGGACGCATGACCACTGCACTGTGGCGTCTCCTGGCGGCCTAGGCTGGAGGTATCCTGGGCAGTGAGGGAACTTGCCCTCCTCTTCTGACAGTCGTGAATACTAAGGGAGTAGAGGCAGGCTCGGTCCCTGTCCTTGCAGAGCCCAAGGGGACACAAGGTTGTCGTCTGGGAGACACAGTCACACAAGTAGATCACGGTGCACAGAGTGCGAGTGTAAAGGCAGGGACACTGATGCTGTGGGAGCCCTGAGGAGGGAGCATGGGTAGCAGGGGCCGAGTCCAGGCAGGCTTCACAGAGGAGGTGACATTTGAGCTGACTTGACAGGTTAATGGGAATGTTAGGTGCAGAAGCCCAGGGGGCAGGGGCCCTTCCATGGTGAGGGAAGTGGTGGGGGGATGAAGCTAGAGAGGGCCTGGGGCCACCCCCAGAGGGGCCTCCTTGCTTGGCTCAGCAGTGAGGAGCCATCAGGAGGGTAAACTGGGGTTAGAGCCGCCGCCGTGAGCTGGCTGACCTGTGCTGGCCAAGGTGAGCTGCAGAGACTGGCAAGGGGCCCGGGTGGGGCCCAGGTGAGAGCTGCCCCGGCTACTCCAGTCCCAGCCCCTCAAGGGCCTGTGGTCTTGGTTCCCTCTTGACTGAGCCCCTCGCGGGCTGTTGGTCTGTTCTGATGATCTCAGCAGTTTCCCAGGGAGCAGGATGTGCTGAGCTCGCTGTGTGTCCGAGATAAGGGGCCGGATGGAGGCAGGGGTAGACCTGAGCCCGGCCAGAAGTGCCTGCGGACCTCTGAGCTGGCCCTCAGGAAGCAGCAGGGGCCATCAGCAGCCCCCGCCCCCCGACCCCTACCCCTGCAGCAGACAGAGGGGCCCGTGCCCAGTGGGGGGTGGCAGAATACTTCCTCACATCAAGAGGGAAGGGGGCGCTGGTCTTTCATCCTCCACTAACTTGCTCTGTGACTTGGGCAAGTTGCTTTGCCGCTCGCCTCAGTGTTTTCATCACTAGCATAGGCGGAGGTGGGGAAGAGCAACGCCTGCTTCGTAGGCGTGTGTGGGGAGGGAAAGAGGTGAGGGATGTGACCGTGCCAGTGCAAAGGCTTAGGGCACACACGGCCTTTGCTCCTGGGGGCCATCGCCAGAATGGGGGGACCACACGCACTGGAAAGACTGCAGCAAAAGGGCCCAGCTCTGGGGTGGACCCTGCCCCTGCTCCTAGCTCCCCTCCAGTTTGTGACTTCTGTGATGTTGGACAGGTCCCTTCCCCTCTCGGAGCCTAGGGTCCCGCCAGTGTGAAGAGGGCGTTACTAGCAGCTTTGGCTACACAGGGGGAGGAAGGGGGAGCATTCGGGTGGGACGCAGCCTGAGGGGCCAGCCCTGACCTCACTTGACCCCTTTCCTCACTCTGCTCTTCCAGTGGGAGCGCCTCTGGTTCCTGCTCCTCACCGTCACCTTCGGCCTCACGCTCACCTGGCTCTACTTCTGGTGGGAAGCTCACAATGACTACGACGAATTCAACTGGTGAGTGGGTGTGGGGTGGGCGGGGGGACAGGGGCCTGGGCCCTGAGAATCCGGTGGCTGGGACTGGGGGGCTTGAGTTTGAGCCTCTCCCAGGCTGGCCCTCAGAGCTCTGCCACCAGCTCTGTGTGGCCTTGGGGGCAGGTCCCCTGGGAAGCACAAAGGCTTAGCAGGAGCCGAGACCAGCTGGGGAGGACATGGAGCTCCTTCCTGGCCCTGCTTTCATGGGAAAGAGGAGTGTAGGACGGGGATGGGGCGCAGCGCAGAGCAGGGGCCTCCGGCCCCCTTCATAGACAAGAATTCCAAGACCAGAGAGACCAAGGCCTCAGCAGAGGTGGTGGCCCCGGACCCCAGGCCTTGTAACCCCCTGAGCAGGGCCTTGGGTGGCAGGGCTGGAAGGTGGTTTGGTTCTGGGACAGCTCAGGTTCTTTGTGAGCACCAGCCTCAGGTCTGGGGCCGGTACCTGGATACAGGAGGGCACCTGTTTCTTCCTCGCTCGTGCCTCCACTGCCTGCCTTTGTCAAGTGGTGAAAGGCCATGGGAGGAGGGGAAGGACCCTGGATTCTAGTGGGAACTCCTCCATTGACAGGTGTGGAAACTGAGGCCCAAGGTCACTCAGCCATTTGGGGTCAGAGCTGGGGCTTGGAAGCCAGACCTCCTCACTCCGCATCCAGTGCTGTCAGAAGTTCAGCTCAGTGTGACTGTGAACAAGTCTCTGGTCCTCTCTGAGCCTCAGTGTCCTCTTCTGTGAAAAGGGGACCTCATCAGGTCTTTCTGAGAATGAAATGAGCTGATGGACTTGAGAGGGCTCAAAGCTCCACCTACACCTGACGGCTGCTTCCTGGGAGGCCGAATCTCCAGCTGGAAGGTGGCCATGGTGTTAGAATTTGGGGTTTCTGGGACTGTGGGCTTCTGATGGGCCATGGTTCTGAGAGTCTGTGATGATCCTAAGATTCTGTTCATGGAATGAGCATCCACTCCCTCTGCAGGGCACCAGGCAGTGCCTCTGTTATTAATAACCCCATAAAGGATGTGCTACTGCCCCCCGCAGCCTGGCAAGATGAGCCGGAGCCCCAGCTGAGTCCCAGAGGTGGCCTCTGGCCTTTATTAAATACCATAAATCAATTATTCATCCTTGCAGGTGTCCAAGGCACAGGGACTCTTGTGGGTAAATGGGGACAGTCCCTGCTGGTCCTCAACTGCAGACTGGACAGTTCTGCTGAACTGGAGGTCTGCTGCCTGGAAGATCATCGGGTCCACCCCCTCATGTACAGATGGGGAAAGTAAGGCCCAGAGAGGGGCAGGACTCACCCATGGCCACATAACCAGTTAGGGCCAAAAACACGCGTCAAAGACAGTCAGAGGAAACTGAGGCTCAGAGAGGTTAAGTAGCCTTCCAGAGTCACACAGCGAGAGGCAGACAGATCTAGGACGGAGACTTGAGCCTGACTGACTGTATCATGTTGTCCATGGAGCTACCCCACTCTGCCCAGAGGGTGAGCTCCCTGTCACTGGGCGGCTCAAGTGGAGGATAGGTGCCTGCCCCACTGGGGAGGCTGCAGAAAGCAGGCCTGCCTGGGACTCAGGGATGGCCTGCAGACCTGCAGCACCCTCAGCCTGTCACCCCAGGTTCTGGGAGTCAGTGCTGGGGTTCAGGAGACCCTGGCCCAGCCTTCCTGGTCTCGAGTCTCTGGGATGGTTCCTGCAGTAAGAGGATGTGAGCGAGACCAGGTGGTCAGGGCTGGGCGAGGAGAGCAGGGAGGGGCCGTCTGGGCTGTTGCTGTGGAGGACTCCCTGTCAAACGTGAGAGACAGTGGAACCAGAACATCTGTCAGTTATAGGAGCAGGGCCGCCCCTCTTTGGGCCTCAGTTTCCCCAGCTGTACAGTAAGAAGAGTGCACTCAGTGATCTTCCAGGCAGTAGCTTTCTGCCGGAATCTGAGAGGAGGGGCCAGGGAAGGGCACAGGGGCAGGCAGAAGCCCTCGATGTCCTCCTGGTGTCCCCTCACAGCCTCCTGCCAAGGGCCAAGATGGCAGCAGGCCTGAAATTGCCTGGCGCCGGCTAGATTCTCTGACCACCGTGAGCAAGTTGCTGGCTTCTCTGAGCCGCAGTTTCCCCGGTAGTACAGGGAGGATGTGGGTGGTTCAGTCTTTCTGGAGGGCAACTAAGCAGTACCCATCAGGAGCATTAAAAGGCCCTCTCTATAATTCTATTTGTAGGAGTTCATCCTAAAGAAATAATTACTAATACAGAAAGATACACACACAGTTTTCATTTTCGTGTTACTTTATAATAGTGAATAATTGAACTATTAATTGCCGTTAGTAGCAGGTTGGCTACATATGGTACATTAATTCCGTAGAAGACCATGTAACTGTTGAAAAATCACATTTCCTCAGGATTTATACTGATATCAGTAAATGCTCTTGTTAATAAGGAGAGAATTGGTTGAGCACCTACCTCGTGGCTCGCTCACTTCCTCCTCAGGAAACCCCATGCAGGGCGTTAGTTATCCCCACATCCTCACAGGAGGGAACTAAGGCTCAGAGAAGGCAGCTGTTACATTGTGTCAATTCGGAAACCCCATATTTTCACAATTCAACATTGACATTGAGATGAATGTCACAACTGGTGGCATCTTAGAATCAGCGAAGCCTGTCACCTCCGCAGGGTCCTACAAGCCAGTGAGAGGCGGAGTGGGGATTTGAATCTGCATGTACCTCCCTCCAGAGCCCAAACCCGGACGGCTGTGCACCACGCAGTGGGTCCCAGCTTTGCTATTTATACAAATATATAAGCATAGAGGAGGGAACCCACTGGAAGAAAATTCAGCAAATTCTTGGTAATGGTTCCTTGTGGGCAGTAGAATTACGAAGAATTGTTATTTTCTTCTTTATGCTTCGTGGCATGCCCAGGTGTCCACCGTGAACCTTCGGCAGGCCTGACTGATGATCAGGGAAACAGTGACGTCATTGCTGAGTAGGCAGGGCCTGGCCACTGAGCCTGGCTGCGTGAGAGCCGGCCAGCCTGAGAGAGCCTCCTGGTTCCCTGGTGCAGGCCTGACCCCTGCCCCTTCTCCCCCTGGCAGGTACCTCTACAACCGCATGGGCTACTGGAGTGACTGGTCCGTGCCCATCCTCATGACCACAGCCGCCGCCTTCACTTACATCGCAGGCCTCCTGGTACGTGGGGCTGTCAGGGGGCAGGTGGCCCTGCTCCCAGGGGAAGGGAGCCTTGGCCTGTGCTGGGCTGATGGGGGGGCCTACCCTTGTCTAAAGAGGGCAGCGGGCTTTTCCCTGGGCCTCTTGGGCTGCTGCAGCTCTGAGGCCTGGTTCCTTCAAGGTGGGAGGTCATCTTGCTCTTGCCCCATCCTGGAATGTTTCTCCCTGACCTGGTGAGAGCATCCCGTTCTTAGGGCCCACAGCAGACTCTCTCTTCCAGAAACTTCTGCTTTGGTTCCTGCTCCCAATTCTCTACTCCCTCAGACTCCGGTAAATCCTCATGCTGGACTGGGGGCTCCTTGGGGACAAGGCTCAAGTCTGCTTCAGAATCCTGGGGCCTGGAACTCTGGCCACATTGATTGGGCAGTCCAAGGGCAGCAGGGCCCAGGGACCTCTTAAGGGAGAAATCCTAGAGGAAGAGGAGTCTGGAGGCCTGAAATAATCTGGGAGGAGGCCAGGCCTGGCTGGGCTGGGCTGGGCTGGGCATTCCCATTGCCTGTGGGGAGGATTTGCTGACTGCTCTGAGCCAGGCCCTGCGCAGCAATGGGAGAAGGGGGCCTGGGGAAGTGGAGGAAGCAAGAAGCCTTCAGGTCACACCTGGTGCCTGAATGCCCCACTTCTGTCCCCTCTTCAGGTCCTGGCACTATGTCACATTGCTGTGGGGCAGCAGATGAACCTGCACTGGCTGCACAAGGTAAGGGCTGCCTCCACGGGGCCAGGAGAGGGGAGGGGAGGCTGGAGGCCACAGCAGCAGAGGAGGAGCTGGACACATCACCCCTCAGTGGACCATGATTATTATTGTTCTAGTAGCCAACACAGGGTACTCCCCATGTGCCCAGCACTGTCCTCACTGTCTGGCCTGTATTAACTCACTTAACCCTCACCGCAGCTCTGGGATGTAAATGCTGTTATCATCCCATTTTGCAGTTGGGGGAACTGAGGTACAAAGAAGTTAAGTAACATGCCCATGGTCCCCCACTTAAGTGGAGGATCCAGGATCCTGGCTCTGCAGCCGTGCGATTAACCAACCCAGGTCACAGCTCCGCCCTCTGGCTGGCTCTGCCTCTGTCTCACCTTCTCCTGTTCATTCTTCAGTGAGCTCATTTTAAAACTCTGATCCAGTGTTGTAATTCCTCAACTTAAAACCCTTTCCACCACTCCCATTGCTCCTAGGATGATCCAAACTCCCCAACCTGGCATTAAGGCCCTTAGATGGCTCCTAATGCTGTTGTTGGACGGTTACCCTCAGCTTCTGCCGCGTGAGACATCTCAGGCCCTCCCAGCATATCAGGCTCTTCTCTACTTAACCCTCCACTCTCGCCCTCCCTTTCTCTCTCTTTTGGACCCTTCCTTGGTTCTCCTCCCCGACCTGCACAGGCTGCTGGGGCTCCCCTACCGCAGTCCTGAGCATCTGTGTTGTCCACCTCCGTCTAGCTCCCTGACCCCAGCCATCCCCAGCCTGGGAGCTCCTTGCAGGCCAGAATCAGCTGGGCCCAGAGCAGGGAGGCATCATCCATTCCCAGCCTCAGCTCTCTCGTCGCCGTTCATTGCGTGCATGGTACTGAATGTATGTGGCTGATGCCTGCTCTTCTTGAGGCCCCAGTGGGCTCAGAAGGGGCACAGAGCTGACCAAGAGAGACCCCCTCCCTCCCGGGAGCACCTGGGCCTTGGAGGGAGGGCTGGGCCATCTCTCCTTGCCCAGAGCCTCGCTCAGTGGGAGGCTCTCACACCATTTAGGAAGGGGTAGAAATGTCCAGAAGTAACCATGAGCCCATGAGATGGGTCGAGTGACTCAGGAGAGGGGCTCACTTCCAGCCAGGAGGACATGGGCCGGGAACCAGAAGAAGGACGTGGGAGCTCCATTTGGGCTGTGTGGAGTGGGAGGTGCCATGGGCATCTAGGGGCCCTCCATGATCTGGAGCTGGGCATTCGGAGCCGGGTGACTGCAGTCCTGGAGCGGGGAAGAGCAGCCAGCAGCCTCTGGTCCCCTCCCACCTTCCTCCTGCTTGTCTCTATCCTGAGGTCTCCTCTGGGCTTCTGAAGTCCCCTCTGTGAGGCACTTTCTTCTCCCGGCTGCAAAGCTGACACTTGAAAGAACTACACCAGCCGGCACCCCGGGTGGGGTTGGCTCACACTGTGGTAACCCCCTCTGGGTGAGGCCTGGCTCTCAGCAGGCCAGGTCACACCTGCTTGATCCTGGTGGAGGGGCCCCGGGGGCACTGAGGCAGCCAGGGTGGCAGATCAGTGCAGGGAGTCTTCTCCTGGGGGCAGGAGGATCAGATCCCTTTATCCGTGCCGAGGCCAGCTCCCGGGGTGCCAGCCCTGCCTTTCTTGCCCCTCTGCACCACGCCCCCCACCCATGCAATCTCAGCACGAGGAAGGGCCTTCCAGGCAGAGTGAGCTCAGCCGGACCTGCTGCGCCTGGAGGGAGGGAGTTCCCAGGGGCTCAGAGTATTCAAGTAGAGGCTGGAAATCCTATTCTGTTTCCAAGATTCTATCGTTTGATTCTAAGATTCTAAGGAATCCATATTCTTTTTCTTTGTTTTAACCAATTTTTGATCATCTAATACATTGACATGGTTCAAAATTAAAAAGGTCCAAAAAGTACACAGTGTAAATCTCCCTACTGTGTTCCCAGAGATATTCTAAGTACATACAAATAGACATATACATTTCCTTTTTCTTTAAACACAAGTAGTAGCCTGCTCTCCCCTCTCTTCTGCACCTTAGCAAAATCCTTGGACCTCCTTCCCCTTCCGTGCGTTAAGAGCATTCCCATCGGTGTCCGTCCCTTGCTCCTGTCCCCTGGTCTAATCCTGAGTTCCTGAGGTCCCTAGCCAGTCCCCTGTTGACGGGCCTGATCGACATCCCAGTTGCTTTCAGTTGATTGCCAGGACGATGTGGCAGTGACCTGGGTGGGGAACTGCCATGTAAAGAGTGTGCACTTCTGTAATTGTGAGAATTCTTGCCAAATTGCCCCCTTGCCAGGTTCCACCAATTCATGCTCCTCCGCCATGTATGACTGTGCCTACGAAAACCCCCTTGCCCATGAAGCGTGTGCACATTTCTTGACTTTTGCCCATGGGTGAAAATGGTACTTCGATGGAGTTTTCATTTGCATTGCGCTTATGATGAGTTAGATTTGGCAACTTTCACCTGCTTGAGTTGTTTGCATCTCCTTTTCTGTAAACTGTCTCCTCACATCTTTTGCCCTTTTTGCTCTGAGATTTGCTTTTTGCTTGTTAATTTCCGAGAGCTCTGTATAAATTCCGAAAATTAGCCTTTGGCTGATGAACTGCAAATAATTCCTCCTAGCTTGTCATCTATCTTTTGACTTGCTTGTTGTATTTCTGCTGTAGGAATTTTTTTATTCTTAAAAATCTGTCATCTCTTTTATGGCTTCTGGGTTTTCTGTCAGACCCTGAGGAAAGTCTTCCCACTCCACGATTATACAGAAGTTCTCTGTGGTATCATTTGGTAATTATACGTTTCTTCTTTTTTTCAACATTTAAATTTTTTATCTTGTTGGCGGTTATTTTGGGGTACAGGGTGCCTGTACTTTGTTCTTTTCAGATGGCTCCCCAATGTCCCTGACTCTCTTGAGTTATCCATCCTTCCCCCTCTAATTCGAGATGCCACCTCTATCATATACTAAACTTTTTAAAATGTATTTAGATCTGTTTCTCAGCTTTTTATTTACCTTCATTTATCTCTCTGGTCTTATACTAGTATCATACTGCTTTAAATACCACAGTTTTATATTATGTTTCTATCATGATCTTTATTTTGAGAGACCCTGGTTCCTCTGAGTCCCAGGGGGAGGGGGGCAGAGGACAGAGGCGCCCAGGATGGCTGGGGGAGGGAGCCGTTTGGGGCAGGCTGGGTGCAGTGAGGGGATCTAGGTGCCCACTTGGGGACCTTCCCCCTCAGCCCCCAGTCCTCCCACAGCTCCTATTTCCCAGAAACTCCTCCTCACTGAGCCTCCAGCAGAAGTCCAGGGGCCCAGGAGGTGAGGAAGAAGGTCGAAGGGGACTTGGGGGCTTTACAGGAAACAGGAGGCCCTTTCCCTGAGATGCCCCCCTTCCTGCCCCTCCCACCACCCCAGAATCAGCTCAGATGCCATGGCTGTGAGGGGCTTTGATCACAGCCCCCACCTCCCCAGGCTGTCCCCGTCCTAGCACCGATCATTCCACGCTGCTCCTGTCTGTGTCCTCGCCCGACTGCCCTGCCATGGTGGCAGCAGCCCCCCGCCCAGGCCCCATCGGCGCCTCTGCTTGCTTCTCTCCACGTTCTCTTCATCAACACTCCCGGTGAATTCAGACTGCCCTCCAAACAACCGGCCCAGGCTGCACAGTTCTTCTCAGTGTCTAGCCTCTGTCCCTCCAGCTGCAGTCTAGGAAGGCACATTCTTGGAGAGCCTCCTGCATGTCAGGCTCCGTGCTCGTCATAACAGCCATGACCATCATTTATTGGGCACTTACTCTACATATGTCAGGCACTTTCCACACAGTGTGTCATTTACTCCTTGTAATAATCCTATTCATTTGTATTATGCCCACTTTTAAAAATTATACCACTAACTTTTCTTTGTTGTTGTTGTTGAGCAAGATCAGCCCTGAGCTAACATCTGATGCCAATCCCCCTCTTTTTGCTGAGGAAGACTGGCCCTGGGCTAACATCCGTGCCCATCTTCTTCTACTTTATATGTGGGACGCCTGCTACAGCATGGCTTGATAAGCGGTGCGTAGGTCCGCATCTGGGATCCGAACCTGCGAACCCCGGGCCGTGGAAGGGGAGTGCGCACACTTAACCGCTGCACCACCGGGCTGGCCCCAATACCGCTAACATTTAGTAAGCACTTACTATTTTGGTGCCAGCCACTGTGCTCAGCACTTCTTGCATTTTCTCATTTCTCTTCCCAAGCTTCTTCCAGGCGGCCCTCACTCTCCCCATTCACAGCCCAGGGAACAGGCTCTGAGAGGTTAGCCTCCCCCATTAGGCAGAGTCCCCAAGGGATGTGACTCAAGTGCGGCCCTGAACCCTGCACCAACCATCTGCCATGTGGACCACAGAACCTAGGTTCCAGCCGCCCCCAGAGGCCGCCCTGTTCACCTCTGCAAGGCTGGGCTCCACCTCCTCTCGGGCCCCGCACCCAAGCGAGGCTCCCTGAATGAACGATGTCCCTCCTGTCTCCCCCGTCCCTCCCACTGTCATCACAAACCACAGTCCCACCACACAGGAAACCAAAGACTGCTTTCTCAGAGAGGACCCACTCTTCTGGGTGGGATTTAACCCTCTGAGTCAGGTTTAAGGAATGGGGGTCCCATTGTTGGGAGTCTGTGCTGTTCCTGTGGCTTAAGGACACAGTGTGTGGGGGGAAATCCCACAGACACTGAATGTTTTAATAATGCTGCTGAGCCTAATGGTTGCCACTGAAAAACTCAGAGAGAATAAAATTTCTAATTGCATTAGGATGATGGGGAATCAGTTTTATTGCCAGTATTTCCACTAGCGGTTAAATATTGTAATAAGATGCTCTCGGAAACTGCCCTTCCGAGACACTTGCTGGGCCCGGGGCCTGCCTGGAGGGGGCCGCAGCGGGCAGGGAGCCTGCGTGTTGAGGGGGGATTCTCAGGGATGGTCAGGATACTCCTTGGGCTCCAGCATCACTGCAGTGTGATGTCCCAGAAAGAGCACGACCTCTGAGACAGGCAGAATGGGGTTGGTTCTGGAACCATCCCCTCAGAGCTGCGTGGCAGGCAGACCCTATGCTCTCTGAGCCCCACTGCCTCTGTGAAAAATGAACATGGTAACACCTCACCTGGGACGAGACAGGAGTAAACACGAGGAAGATGGGAAGTGCCTCCCCCAGACCCGGCACACTCAGGCCCTCCGTGTCCCTGCATTCCTCCCCTTCCCGTGTCCCCAGGCCGGCACATCACAGTCCGTAAAGGCCCCGACCCATCTCAGCCTTATTACTGCTTCTTATTGGAACATTCGTTTCCAGGCTGATGGGCTGGGATGACAGACCTCCCAAGGAAAACTTAATCCCAGGCCAGAATGAACCTTCCCTGTCTGGCAGGGAACCAGATAGATGGGCCGCTGTCTCTGCCCTCACCATCTAGAAACTCAATTTAGAGCTGGTTCGGTTGCTGGAGGTTTCTCAGAATGCAGCTACAGAGCTCTAGGAAAGGCAGTGCAGGAGGAGAAGGAGGGCGAGAGCCCTGCTGGCAGGAGATCAGCTTGAGGCGGCGGTGGGAAGGCAGTGGGAGCAGGCTGTGGCGGCCTGGATGGCCCATTACGGAGCATGGGGGCTGTGAACGAAGGCTTTGGGGTAGAGGGGGGACCTGGGCTTCAGGAGGCCGGCCCAGTAATGCGGGGAAGGTGGGCAAGGTGAGAGCCAGGACTCAAGGTGGGCGATGGGGTCTGAGTAGCCCGAAACCAGACTTCACTTCATTTCAGGGAGCATCTTGTGTTGCATGAGGTGTTTCAGATCCCATCTGTCCGCAGAGATCTCTGTCCTGTGAAGGTTCCATCTCGTCCTCCATCAGAGTTGTGCTCCTTGCTTTCTCTTGCTGAGAGGGCAGCCCCCATAAACACATACAAAGCTGGAAGCTCAGAGGCTGGAGCAGAGAGCATGCCTTGACAGGGCGGCTGGGGCAGAGCCTGCCTCACTGCCCTCTCCAGCCTGATGTGCAGCTGTGAGCCCAGCCAGGTATGCGAGGAGGGACTGGGTATCAGGCTCCTGCAGGGGACCCAGCTCGTCAGCCTCCTGCCCCTGAGACCTGGGCCCACCTCTCAGTGGGGCCTCGGTTTCCTCATCTGTTGTGCTGGATGAAAGGTTGCTGGGGCTGCTGGGTGAGGGCATGGATGACCTGCTGGGCCCAGGGGAGGCTCCCATTTGTGGAGTGTCTTCCCTTCTCACACCCTCAGTGAAGCTGAGTGCTGGGGCTGCCTCTCCACCTTAACCCAGCTCCTTCACCTTGTCTCCTCTCCATCTTCCCTTCTATTTCTCTTTCGGTCCCTTCCTTGCTGGGTCTGCCTGCCTCCTCTTGCCTCTGTCTCTCACTGTCCTCTCTGTCTGGCTTTCTTTCAGCCCATGCCTGTCTCTTTCCTGCTCCCCTCTTCCCTGCCGGCCTCTCTTGCTCTGTCTGTTTCTCCACTGTCTGTCTCTCAGTCTCTCCCTCTCTCAGATACACTGGGGACCCTCGGACTGTCCATGCTCTGACCCTGCTCTGACCCTCTGTCTGGTGGCTCTTCCCCTTCCAGATAGGACTGGTGGTCATCCTGGTGTCCACGGTGGTGGCCATGTCGGCTGTGGCCCAGCTATGGGAGGACGAGTGGGAGGTGCTGCTCATCTCCCTGCAGGTGAGTGGGGTCAGGGGGCAGGGCGGCTGCTGCCCCAGGACCCTCAAAACAGGCAGCACCTTTTTGTCGCTCCTGTTTCTCCAGACCAAGGCCCAGAGGTGGCAGGGAGGGGTCCAGGTCACCTAGCAAGTCAGACGCGGGGAGGGGGCTATAACCCAGTTTGGATCCAGTTTCCCCTGTTGAAGAATGCAGACAGAGTTGCCTTCCCCGTGGCTAGAGATAGGCCGTCAGGATGTTGGTGACTGGAGGGTCTGGGCGCTGCTGGGAGCCAATAGTTCTTCCTGCTGCTTCCCACACACCAGGGCACAGCGCCGTTCCTGCACGTGGGGGCCCTGGCTGCCGTCACCGCGCTCTCCTGGGTCGTGGCAGGACAGTTTGCCCGCGCAGAGCGGTCCTGTAAGTACAGCTGGGCAGGACCTGCCCCCCCGTGCCCTCCAAGTACCAAGGCCAGCTGTCCTGTCCTCACCCGGACTTTACCTGGGTGACCTGGGGATAAGGTGGGCCCTCACTCTCAGTGTGGGGGGTTCTGGTCCAGAGTGGCCCACAGGTTCCATAGAGGGCTGCAGCCTCGGTCGGCCTTGCTTGTTTCCTCCTCCGTATCTCTGTGTCTGTGTCTGAGTTAGAGGCTGGGTTCACCTTCCCAGCAAGAATGGGGGCTGCCCTTGGTGCGGGGTCCCTCGGAGCATCTGCATCCTGACAGGTGGAGGGAAGAGGGGTCCAGCATTCCCTCCCAACCTGCCCAGGGCTCATGATTGGGCCTGGTGGGAGCCCAATGGCCCACCAGGCAGCACTCACACCCCGTGTCTGCAGCCTCCCAGATGGCCATTCTCTGTACCTTCTTCGCCGTGGTGTTTGCCCTCTACCTGGTCCCTCTCTCCATCTCCTCTCCCTGCATCATGGAGAAAAAGGACCTGGGCCCCAAGCCCGCCCTCATCGGCCACCGCGGGGCCCCCATGGTAAGTGCCATCTGAGGGTCCTAACAGACCAGGGTGGGGGCAGAGCTGCCACTCTGGAGGGAGATGGGCAAAGACCCCAGGGGGAAGACCTTGTTGGGAAATGGATGTAATACATGTAATGTAATAATAGCAACAATTTTTACCCCTTTTGAGGGGTATATGGGAAGGATTAGTGAAAAGGCTGGAAAGCTTAGATGGGATCAAATCCTGAAGATCCCTGAAAGCATCTTGCTAAAAAGATTGGACTTTTACCCCGAGAGCCCTGGAAAGACGCAGGAGGGCTTTAGGCCGGCCAGATACCGCCGGGTTATGGATTAGGAAGGCCCAGGAGAGAGAGACACCGGGTGTGGGGTGGAGACACGGCCCATGGCTGTGATGAGGCACCAGGAGAACCTGCCAGGCTTTGGGGGCGGGAAAGCGAGTGCAGCTCAGAGCCCACTGCTGAGGGGCAGACAGGTGAACCGGGCTGAACTGGAGAGAGAGGAAGGAGTCAAAGTCAGTGCCCTGCTACTCCACTGACGTGCCGTGACCCGGCAGTGGACCCTCCCTCGAGAGGGGGCCCCAGAGCCAGGCTTCCTCAGCCCCTGGCCGCTGTGGGAGCCCGGACTCATTCCCCTCTTCTCTGTGCCTGGTTTCCTCGTCTGGGATAGTGCGAGTCCTGCGCCGAGGGCTGAGAAGCAGGAGTTAGCCTTGTGGCCAGCCCAGCTGTGAGCCTGGCGCACAGAGGAAGAAGTGGACGGTCCTGTCACCTTGGGCAGGCCCTCCCCCTTCTCTGGACAAAGGTTTCTTCAGCCACCAACGCCTTGACCCTTGGTTCTCTGCAGAGGCAGTACCACTCCCCTCCCCCAGGGGGCGTTTGGGGACTTGGTGAGAGCTTTTTCTCTGTGCTCACAATGATTGGGAGTTCCACGGTGTCATTGAATTTCAGGGTAGTCAAGGGGGCCTCACAAAGTCACTGTTTTAAAAGGAGTTGAGTCTGATGGGGCTGCGAATCACCCTGAAGGTCCTCCCCCTCTGCGTATGGTGGGCCTTATTGTACCCTCTTGCCATATAAGGAAGGCTCAGAGGCCTGTGCCCCTGAGCTGGCCCCAGTGCCCTCCCACCACACCCCGTGCTGGTCCCGGCACCTCCTAGAGGCAACCAGCTAGACAGGCCATGGCTTTGGAGTCAGGGACAGGATTTGGGGTCTAGTTTCACCACATGCTGCCTGTGTGTCCCGGGGGCTTGCTGGTCCCCTCAGCCTCACGCTGTGGCTTTTATGATGATAAATGAGAAGCGCAGCCTTCCCACAGATGGGGGCCCAGATGATAGCTCCTCTTCCCTCCGTGACCCAGATTACCCACCCCACCTGCTCTGGGGGCCAGGGGACAAGAGGGTGTGCTGACCTGACGCAGGGGAGGAGGGGGCAAGGGGAAGGGGCAAGGCCCCAGCGTGGATTGTTCTTTTAGTAGAAAATTTTTAATTCCTAATTATTATCTAATATAGAATCCATGTTCAGTTTTCCTTTGTCATCTCAAAAATATCTTTTTACAGTTGAGTTGTTTAAAATCAGGATCCACATTGGGTCCACATAGTGCCAGGTTTCCACGCCTCTTTCTCCAGGAGGCCAGCACCTAACCCAGGGAGACCTGATGTGAAAGAGACTCTGTCCCCTCCAGACACTTCCTCTGCCCCCCAAGGTCTCCGCAGCCCCTGCTCCGCCCACTGTGTCTATCCACAGTCTACCTTCTGCAGCGCCAGCCACCGGGGAGGGAGCACTGGTACCTCTTGGGTGGTCACTCATGGGAGGCCTGGCCCCAGGACATTTAGAGTGAGGTGGCGGGAACTCCACCTCTGGGTGGGGCTTCACACAGCCCACTGGACTGGGGGACAGTAGGTTCCCCAAGGCTGCTGTGCCCCAGGGAAAGGGGAAGAAAGGAGCTCACCTTATAGAGACCGCTGGTGTCTGGTAGCTCACCTATGAGCTTGATAGCATTGGCCCTTATAGCTAAAGAAACCGAGGTTCCCGAAGGTGAGGCGATGGCCCAGGGCGGTGACTGGGAAGTGGAGTTGCTCCTTCTCAGTCAGCTCCAAAGCCCTTGCCATGGTGGGCTCCTCCGGGCCAGGCTGCCTCCCAGAGGAAGGAAATATGTTACACGTTGGGAAACAGCATGGCCAGAGGGAGAGAAGATGGGCATGAGCGTGACTTGCCAGGGATGAGCTCAGCCCTGGGGAGCCTTTCCACCCCATCCCTTCTGCCCTGTGCCTGGTTCTAGCCCAGTCCTTGGTATGGTGCTGACCCCCAGTGGCAGCAATGGGTATGACAGGGTCCTCAGACCAGACACAACTAGGGAGGGAGACTTAGAACCCTGACTCTCCCAACTGGAAGGACCCTCAGAGAACAGTGAATATATGCCCCGAAGTGGCAAATGGGGAAACTGAGGTCCATAGGAGAAAGAGATGCACATGAGGTCACAAAGCTATTTAATGGCAGAGTCAAGGCTAGAATTAGGGTCTTCTGATGTATGTGCTATAGGGTTAACAATTGTCATTTGTTAAGCACTTACTGTCTATCAGGCAACATGCTAGGGGTTTTCAGTCTCTGTTAACAGTCCAGGGGATGGTCTGTAAAGATGAGGTATCTGGTCACCCCATTGAAACTCTGCCATGCTATCTACCCTCTCCTCTCCCTCTGGGATCTCCACCTGGACTCAGGGTGCGACCAGGAGGAAACCTGGCATTTGGCCCTAGCCTAAGACTGCCATCAGGCAGAGGGCTGTAAAAAAGCGCTCCCACCCCAGTGTCTAGCTCAGTGCCTGGAATACAACAGTGATAATATAATGATCATGGCTACTACTTATTAAGTGCTAGCTATATGTCAGGCATTTGTATCCCTCCCCTCCCCTCAAAAAACCTCGTGAGGCAGCATGATTTAACAGATGAGGAAACAGTTTCAGAGCAGCTGTGTGGGTGCCCAAGGTCACACAGCTACTTCGTGGAAGGGTCCACCCAGCCTCCCGACGTGGAAGATTTTCTGCTGGCTGGGGAGGGGCCCAGCAGCTAAATCTCTGCCCTCCCCTCACCACCCTCTTCCTCCCCAGCTGGCCCCAGAGCACACGCTGATGTCCTTCCGGAAGGCCCTTGAGCAGAAGCTGTATGGACTCCAGGCTGACGTCACCATCAGGTAGGGGGTGGGGTTGAGAGGATGGCACCTCCTCCTGTCCCCGCTGCATCCACATCCAGGTCTCTGCTGGAGGAACTCCCATCCCAGAGCCTTGGAGACGGGAGAGGGGAGGCTGGGATATCCACTTCAGGGCAGGCACCCTGTTCGTGCAAATAAATCTTGTGCCAAACTCCAGGATATAACGTAGAGAAAAGAGCAGACGCTCTTGGGTCAAGCAGTGGTGGAAGGTGGGGATCTGGAGTCCTGCCACAGATCCACTTGAGGGAAACACTAGATCTATATGGCTTAGCAAGATGGAGCTCAAACACTCTAAGAAATAAGCAAATCACAGAGCGATACATTCACTTGATGTCAATTATGTTTTAAAAGACCACATAAAAGTAATTTATACGTTTTCTATATGTAGATATATAGGTATGTATTAGTATAAAGGGCAAGAAGAACCCACACCAATCTCATAACAGATTATCTCTGAGAAGGTGAGAGAGCAGGGCTGCCAGATATAGTTGTGCAGGTTGTGTACTGAACAAGGACACCACATATATGAGGAGACTGTTCCCAGTATAGACATCACAGGATTGTGTATTTATCAAAACTTTCTAGCAGATGGTGGTAAAATGCCTTGAGGAAGGGAGGCACAGATGTCTTTTACTGTTTCACACCATATGAGCTATTGGCAGCCCCTGTGGGGTAGACCAGGATGGTGGTGGGGTGGAATTTGTCAAAGGGGCCTGCGTTTGCACTGTTCTCATTACGGCATCACATGGACTGGGTTCTAGGTCAGGTTTCACCACTTACTGGCTTGTGGGCCTTGAGCTAGGTGCTTCCCTCTCCCAGCCTCAGTTTCCCCATTATCAAATGAGGTAGCACCTACATTCCAAGGTTGCTAAGAGAACAGGCCCAGCCCTCCTTCCTCAGCAGTCCCCACGCCCATCTGACCCTCAGAGAAAGAGTCAGAGAGAGTTGCTTAGCAGCCCACTGTCCTCCCTGTGCAGATGGGGAGCCGCAGCCCCAGAGAGGGGCAGAGCCTGCCTGGGTCCCACGGTGGGTTGGTGTAAGTAGATGGGGAGGGATTGTGTGTCTGGGGGGTGATCATTGGTGGGCAGGTGAGGGACCGGGTTGGCAGTGACTCGGCGGCTCCCTCCTCCCGCAGCCTGGACGGCGTGCCCTTCCTCATGCATGACGCCACCCTGCGGCGCACCACCAACGTGGAGGAGGAGTTCCCGGAGCTCGCCCGCAGGCCCGCCGCCATGCTCAACTGGACTGTCCTACAGAGGCTCAATGCCGGCCAGTGGTTCCTGAAGGTCTGGCTGCACCTGTCCCCGTCCTAGGCACAGAAAGCACAGGCGGGGACCCTACGGAGTGAGGGAGCGGGGGCGGCTCTCAGCTCAGGTGACCCCCACTCCGGAGCTTCCCTGACTCACAGCCAGGCTGGTAAGCGGCCTTCTTGGGCTCCTGCCACTGCAGCCCGGATATCATAGTTGTCACTGCTTCTTCTGGTTCTGTCCCCCCCAACAGAAAAAGTGGATGGTGATGATAATAGTTAATAGTTAAAATTGTTAACTCTGTAAAACTCTAGGGGGAGGTTGGTTCTCTGGTCTGAAACGCTGCTACAGGAGAAGTGTGCTGGGTCTGGGAGACGGTCCCCGCAAGCGATTCTTTTGGTAAGCAGGGTGGGAAAGAGAGGTTAGGATCGGGGTCTCCTAGAGGCCTCGCAGGGCCACAGCCGTCAATTTGCCTGGATGCACACACCAGCAAGCACTGGCAGCGCAGGGGTCTCCACGCTCAGTTGCCAGGAAGGCACGCGGGTGCCCCAAAGGGCTGGTGACGCAGCCATGCGTGTCCCTGTCTCTTCCAGACGGACCCCTTCTGGACTGCCAGCTCCCTGTCGCCCTCCGACCACAGGGAGGCCCAGAACCAGTCCATCTGCAGCCTAGCAGAGCTCCTGGAGCTGGCCAAGGGCAATGCCACGCTGTTGCTCAACCTGCGCGACCCGCCGCGGGAGCACCCCTACCGCGGCAGCTTCCTCAATGTCACGCTGGAGGCCCTGCTGCGCTCGGGCTTCCCCCAGCACCACGTGAGACCCTGCGGCCCGGCCCCGCCCCCAGGAAGCCCAGCTCCGCCCAGCCCCTTGGAGGAGCCCCGCCTTCCCCAGCTTCTTGGAGGAGCCCCGCCCCCAGGAAGCCCCGCCCTCCCCAGGCCCTTGAAGGAGCCCTGCCCCGCCCCCAGGGAGCCCCGGCGTGGCCGGAGTCCTGCCCCAGTGTAAACTCACCGTGTCCCCTCTCCAGACCTCAGCTTCCACATTTGTAAAATGGGGCTAGGATGCGTTGCCCACAGCCTTGTGGTGTAATATTTGGGGATCAGAGGAATCCGACACCAGCTTGTGACAGCACACTAGACGTTGGTAGCCACGTGCAGAGCAATTGTTTGGGTTATCAGTCTCGTTGTGACAAGAGCCTAGAGGGGAAACTTCCAGAGTTGCTGCCAGAGCAATTCGCAGCCTTGCTGGGCCCCTAATGATGATTATTACGTGGGAGCCTTCACTGTGTGCCAGTCCCCAGGGGCTCTGTGGGGGGTAGACACCCTAACCCCATTTTACAGGAGAGCAATCTGAGCCAGCGCCCCCTGCCTGCAGGTCATGTGGCTGCCTAATAGGCAGAGGCCCTTGGTGCAGAAGGTGGCTCCTGGCTTCCAGCAGACGTCCGGCTCCAAGGAGGCGGCTGCCAGCCTGCGGAGAGGCCACATCCAGCGGCTGAACCTGCGCTACACGCAGGTGTCCCGCCAGGAGCTCAGGTGCCCCTCCCAGCCCACCCCAGGCTCACCCAGAGGAGAGGGAGACAGTCTCCCCCATTCCTGTTACCCTCACACATCTGGGCACATCTGGGCTGGATGCACAGGGGCTCCTGGTTCAAAGAGGAGAGGTTGTGAGCATTGGGCAGACCTGGGTTTGTACCTGAGCTGAGCCCTCTGGGAGTAGAGATTCCTTCCTCTGGGGACCGTTGTGAGGATGGCATGAGGTTGTGAAGGGGACATGCTTTACAGGTTCCCCACGCTGGGCTTGGAACTTACAGGCTCCCCACGCTGCCCCACAGGGACTATGCGTCCTGGAACCTGAGCGTGAACCTCTACACGGTCAACGCACCGTGGCTCTTCTCCCTGCTGTGGTGCGCGGGGGTCCCGTCCGTCACCTCCGACAACTCCCACACCCTGTCCCAGGTGCCTTCCCCCCTCTGGATCATGGTGAGTTGGGGGGTTGTGGGGGGGGGCACAGGGCACCTGGAAGGGCAGAGTGCTGCCTGTGGCCTGCCCCAGCCGTGCCACAAGCTCTCAGGGTGGGGGGAGCACAGGGTGGGGGGACAGGCTTGAGGCATAAGGAGGATTTCCATGGCCTCTGGGGTCTGCACTAAGGTGCTGGTTGGTGGGAGGAACCTGGGCCTGACCCACAGAGAGAGAAGCATCACTTAAGGGCCCTTGAGAAATAAACAACTACTTGGGATTTTTGGTTTGGGGGTTGTTTATTTCGTGTCATTTTAAAGGAAGGAAAATCTGTGGAAATAGAGGGTAACAGGACAACAATAGGGAACATGCAAATCTGCTCAGAGAATACAGGAATACAACCATTTTTCACCTGGTTGACTGAGCACTTTCAGACAGGCCCGAGTCCCAGTCCCAGCTCTGCCACTGGGGCTTGGGGAGTCCCTCACCTCCCTCCTGTGCTCCCACTGCCACCTCCCTGAGGACGTGAAAGGCAGATAGAGGGTCTCGTCACGGCTAAGACAGGGCCAGGGTCAGTGAGTCGGATTGAGGTTACGGATGGTTATGTCCATCCACCTGCCCATTGTCCTTGAAAACCTCCGAGGGCTCAGCTCAGAGTGAGAGGAAATAACTGACTGTGGCAGCAGTAGCCATGAGCGCACTTGAATTTTCAAGCCACAGGAGTTGGCCACCAGTAAGAAGTGCCCCCCATCCTCGCCCTGACCCCGCCCCTCCTCCACAGTTGACCTGAGAGCCAGGAGGGTCGAGGCCTGGCTGCACTGGAGGCTGTGCCCTCCCTGGTCCTCCTGTCGTCCCTGGAGGGGAAGCCCCCGTGCTCCACACCCTGCAGTGACACATGGACTCTTACACCCATAGGGGTGCCACACACCTCTACACACACACCTGCGCACCTGCTGGTCACGCCACAACCTTGCATTCATCCATTTGTCTCTCGTTATTCGGCCCTTGCTTTGAGGCCCCTTAAACACACAAACCCTCCAGGCTTAATACTCACCACCTCTACCTTGAACACTGCACAGATCTCTTTATCCTGTACACACACACACACACACACACACACACACACACACTCCAGACCCCAGGCCCACAGTGCCCAGAGCCCACTCCTACAAAATATCATCTCAAGCCCCTAAGCCCCTCCAGGTTCTACCCTGCCCCTCCCCAATGGTGACATGGGGTCCTCCTGCCCCTGGACCCTCAGTCTGGAGCCCCAGTGTGGACCAGCTGTGATTGGAAGCTGGCCGCGGGCCATCTGTCCACAGCCCCCGGACGAGTACTGTCTCATGTGGGTCACCGCCGACCTGATCTCCTTCATCCTCGTCGTTGGCATTTTCGTGCTCCAGAAGTGAGTAGGCTCTGGCCACCTTCCGTGGTCTTCCCTGCCCTGCGACAGACTCAGCCCCTACCCCAGCCAGGGGAACCTTCTGAGTCCTCAGCTAGGAGAAGGCCTGGCCAGGTGGCCCTGTTCAGGGGAGAAGGAGGACTCCCAGTGGCCCCCAGCCCATCCCCCTCAGCCAGAGCTGGGTGGCTTCTGGAATGCACACCCAGCCCGGATCCCAGAGCCAAGCTCTGCCGAGATTTGCTGTGTGGACTTTGGCGAGTTTCGGCGCCTCTCCGGCTTGCCTCCTCACCTGTTACCCAGGGCATGGGTTCCCACAGCATTCGGCACTGGCCCGTGCCCTGCTGGAGACCGCCCCACCCCTCAGACGACAGCTGGGACGGTGGTTGTAGTGGGGAGGTGGGGTTGGTCCAGGGGAGGGTGTAGGGCCCTGCCGGGCGGTGTTTTATTCCTGACTGACATTCTCTCTCTGTCCCATCCTGCTCTGATCCGGCGCATGTCCCTCCTCTCCCCCCTCCCCTCTCTCTGCTGCACTCTGGCATCTCACAGCTATCACTTGATCAGGTAATTCTGGTGTGGGCTTCCTCCTCCTGTTCCTCTTTCTCCCCGCTCCTTGCCACTCCCTTCTCCGGTTCCCTCTGAAAACCTTCCTCACACCAAGCCCAGTGCCCAGGTCAGGCTTCCCCACCGGCCACCCTCCCAGACACCCACCCTCGCCGGAAGCCTGCTCCCTCCCCTTCTCTCCCCCAGTCCTCCCTTCTCTCTTCCCATCTTGCCGTGTGTGTCCCTCTGCTCTCTTGGTTCTGTCTGCTGTTTCTACAGACGGGGAACCAGCTTTTCCTTGCAGGTTGCTCACCTGGCATCTCCCTCTGGCACTCGCAGGGCACCACTGCCCAGCACACGCCCCACCGAGCTCTGTCTCTCCTCTCCCATCTGTTACTTGCTCCTCTCCGGGTCTGCCTCTCCCATTGCTCACTCTCTCTGTCTCTGTGGCTCCCTCATCTCTATCTCTTTTTCACTTCCTGTCTCTGACTCCTGCCCCGACCCTCTCCCCCCATCCGCACAGCCTCCCCGCTTCCCCCTGGGGAGGACCCTACAGTGGTTGAGCCTCCTGTCCTAGATGTGCTGGCTGCAGAGACCCTGCCTGACACTTTCCTTCTGGGTTTAATATTCATTTCCAAGATGAGACCTAGGTCTTGGGGATCCAGGTCCCCCTCGGTCAAGTGCGTTAGGCGCTTCTGGGTCAGGCGGCTTCACCGTCCAGCTTCTAGGAGGAGAAACTGCTCCCCGGCTGTGGGACTGAGCCCAGCGAAGGCACATCTACCCAGTGCTTCCTCCATTCTCTCGGGCGGCAGACATCCATGTGTGCTGGCTGGTGCCGGGGTGGGGCCTGCCGCAAGGAGTCAGGCCTTCCTGCACGGAGCCCCCAGTGTGCTGGGGAGGCTGGCCCGTGATGGTCCAGGGGCTGGGATGGACATGCTGGGCCTGCTTGACATATAGCCAGGGCGGTGTCATTGTCTTCCTGGGGGTCAGGAGAGGCCTGAGGGAGGAAGGGACCCTGGGGGGAAAAGATCATTTCCCCGTGGGCCTCATTCTTCCATTCATTCACTCAACAAATACTTAGGGGCACCCGCCACACAGCAGGCACTGCAGTTGGTGCCAGGGACACAGTGATAAGTAAGAGACCCAGTCGCTGCCCTCAAGGACGTGTGGGGCGGCCAGCCCAGCCAGAGCACAGGCTGCCTTCCCCTCTGCTTCATGCTTTCCCCCTGTCTGTCTGCTCCGTTCACCCACCCGTCTGCCTGTCCATCTGTCTGTCCACTTCTGCTGCGCTGACCCCATGTGGAAATAATTGATTTCTCTTGGAGTCTGGGCTCCCTCCACCCAGCCCAGCAGGGCTCAGTGCCCTGGGGCGTTGGGTCCTTGTTTCCGAGCTGAGCCCGCTTCTCTTGGTGGGAGTTGGGGTGGGGGCCAGTGAATCCTTCTGTCTGGGTCGCAGGAAGAGTCTAAATTCAGAGGCCAGGGATTTGGGGCTAGTTTGGAGGAAGTGCAGCAGCAAAGCAGTGCCCTGGGCTGGGCGCAGGAACCCGAGACCTCCTGGCCCTGCCTGGCCCCTGCACATCCTGTGCAGCCCGCCTCTCAGCCCACCTTGCTCCTGCCTCAGCCATCAGAGGGATTAATGCCCCAGCCTGTCCCTCTCCATCAGAGAATGTACACCCCACTCTTCCAGGATGTTGGAACAGAGCAGCAGGCCCCGCCCCAAGTCTCTCTAACCCCCCTGCCCTGTGAACCTGTGAAGACAAGCCCCTCCGCCCCCCGCTGTCTCCCTCACCTCCCTGCTTTCCTTCCCTTCCTCTCTGGGGTTTCCCCACTGGCTTCGCTCAGCCTGGTCCTGATGGCGGAGCTGTAGGAGACATCAGTGGGGACTCCTCGAGATTGGTGTGTACCCCAGGGCGGGTCATCAGCTAAGCGCCCCCTCCCCAGGTTTGTCCCATCTAAAGAGAGCCAGGTGTATAACTGGGGGCACCTGAGACAGAACTAACCAACCTCCACCCAACTTCCTGGACAAGGGGAGCGGATCTGGGGTTCCGGAGGTAAGAGGGAGGCAGGTGTGCCCTGGCTGAGTCAGCAAACTGAGTCAAGCCCCAGCTCTGCCCTTCTCTGGGCCTCAGTTTCCCCATCGGTACAGTCAGACAAGAGTCCTGCTGGTCCCTCAGGCCCAAACCAGAGAAGCTCTGGACTGAGCAGGACCCCTGCTCCAGGGAAGGGTGGAGAAGGACCTGATGCCCGCGGGGCCATCTCTGCAGGTGGCGCCTGGGTGGCATACAGAGCTACAACCCTGAGCAGATCATGCTGAGCGCTGCGGTGCGCCGGACCAGCCGAGACGTCAGCATCATGAAGGAGAAGCTCATCTTCTCAGGTGTGCAGCCCCGCAGACAGGCTGAGACGGGCCCTGGGCTTGGTCCTCTGTACCCCACACGTGCACACAGGTGTGTGCACACACATTCACCCGCAGCACATACAGGCAGGGACTCGGCATGGACACACATATACCCACCCAGCTTCACGCCCACCTCCAGGCAAATGGAGGCCCCCGTACACATACAGAAACACATACCCGCCCACGTGCAGTCATGAACTCCAGGTCCTTGGCTCAGTGTCAGCCCCATGGGTGGTGGGCAGGGGTGATGGGTGGGGGCTGGGGAGGAGTCTGCTTTGAAGGCCCATCCCCCTTTGCCTGGTTCATAGAGACCCCACAAATATTGATTTCACCCCTGCTTGTTGCCCACCCCTGCTGACATTCCCAGTCTGATGGAGAGGCAGCTGGATAAACAAACACATGGGAAATTGGGTGTCACTCGATCTCTAACAGATGGGATGCTGAGCCAGAGTGGGGTGCACAGGAGGAGAAAGTGGTCAGAGCTCCCTGGGGCAGTGAGGAAGGTTTGAGGGCCCACTTTGCAAGGAGGTGACGTAGCTGAAAGGGGAAGGATGGGCCTGGATGATGGGTTTGAGGTGAGGGCTGGGCGAGCAGAGGGAAGGAAGGGCATTCCAGGCAGAACAGCTTGTGTTCAGAGGAAGTGAGGCAGCACTGCTTGCCGGGGCACCAGGAACTAAGTCTGACTCCATGTGGCTTGAGGGGAGAGGCCTCTGGCTGGCTCACCCCAAGATGGCACTGGGGAGGCATGCGGGCCTCGAGTTTGCGATCAGGAGCTCGGGCTTCATTCTGAAAGCAGAGAGTCGTGGGCAGATTTGTGTTTGTTACCATAGGGCTGTAACAAAGTACCACAGACTGAGGGGCTTAGACAACAGAAATTTATTGTCTCACAGTGCTGGAGGCTAGAAGTCCAAGATCGAGGTGTTGGCGGGGTCGGTTCGTTCTGAGGGCCATGAGGGAAGGATCTGGTCGAGGCCTCTCTCCCTGGCTTGTAGACGGTCACCTTCGTGTTTACACAGCATTCTCTCAGAATGCATCTGTGTCCAAATTTCCCCTCTTTATAAGGACACTAGCCATATTGGATGAGGGCCCACCTTAATGACCTCATCTTAACCAGTTACATCTGCAACGACCTTATTTTCAAATAAGGTCTCATTATGAGGTACTGGGGGTTAGGACTTCAACATAACGAATTTTGGGGGACACAATTCAACCCATAACAAGTGTGGAGGGTGGATCAGAGGCAAGGAAACCAATAATTCAGGCAAGAGACCTGGGCATGGGAACAGACGGGAGAGATCTGAGAGAGAGATAGGAGCCAGATGGACCTGGATTCAAATCCCAGCTCTGTCCTCAATTAGCTGTGTGAACTGGGCACATGATCCAACCTCCCTCAGCATCACACTCCACCTGTTAAATGGGCTAGCTCTCCCTCATGGGGTACTGGTGAGGGTTAGCACCACGCCCGGCCAAGGGGTGCTTGGTCAACACTGCTTGAATGAACGGGAGCCAGTGGGGGCGACTGTGGGTTTGGGGCTGGCTCCAAGGATCATGTGCACATCCACTTACTTATTCACTCCTTTTTTATTAATTCCTTCAATAGATGAATGCCAGGCACTGTCTTAGGTGCCTAGATACAGATTCTTGCCTGTGAGGCACTTACATTCCTCCTACCTTCTCTCAAAAAAACCTCCTCCTCCTGGGAGCCTTCCCTGAGCACCAAGGCTGGGTTGGAGTGCCTCCCCTGGGGTCCCACAGCCCTCTGACCACACTGGGGAGCTCCTGGAAGGAAGGGCCAGTCCAGGGCACCTGGGGTCCGCAGGCTCCTGCACTGTGCCTGCCTGCAGAAGTCAGAAGGGACAGGCAGAATGAATGGAAGGCAGGAGGCCAGCCCCTAGGCCTGGCAGGTTCTGCCCATCCAGCCCCCGCCTCTCCTGCAGGGCTGAAGGCCATTGACTGAGTACCTCCTGAGGAGTGGGCCACAGTCCTCACCCCCTGCCCACTCCAGGTTGAGAGGTCCTCCCCAGAGACCCTCAGCCCCACCAACGCACCCTGAGTCCCCTCAGGGTGGGCTCAGCTCCACTCAGCAGACCTTTCCTGAGCCTCTGCTCTGTGTCCAGTGCTGTGCCAGGCACTGGGGACACCGATGCCCAGACCTCACTTGTCCTTGAAGTGCTCCAGTCAGTGGGGGCCACAGACAGTGACAGTACAGGATGTGATGGGACAGGTGGAAGCAGGGGCTAGGGTGGCCATGAGGAGGCCCCATCCCAGCCTGAGGGGGCTCAGGGGAGGCTTTCAGGGGGCTGCAATAACAGAGATGAGAAGAATTGGGCCCGATTTTGAGAAAAGGGGGTGTTGATGGGGAGGTCACTCCCAGGAGAGGGGCCAGTATGTACAAAGGAGAGTAAGTGCCCGGGGTGCCAAGCTCAGGAGGGTGCAGATGGTTTTCTGTGGCTGGAAGGTGCAGTTCCAGGGAGAGCAGACTGAGGGTGTTCGCAGAGACCAAGGGGGGCCTTGAATGCCGAGCTCAATACCAAACCTGCACCCAGTGGTTTCATTAGCCTCCAGGTGCCTGACCAGGACTTGGTGCAGGCCATCCTTCCCACTGCACCTGGCGGCCATTCTTGTCAACTCCCCCTCCCCCACTCACATTCTGCCTCCCTCTGGCCCAACAGAGATCAGCGATGGCATGGAGGTCTCCGATGAGCTCTCTGTTTGTTCAGACAACAGTTACGACACATACGCCAACAGCGCCACCACCCCTGTGGACCCCCGAGGGAGGGGCAGCCGCGCCAAGACCTTCACAGACCGGAGTGGGCGTTAGCTGAAGACCTGTCTGTCCCAGCCTGTACCAAACGTGGAGACCAGGAACCCAGGAGAGCTGGCAGGAGCGTATCTGGACTTGGAGTGCTCTGGGAGCTGGCTCCATGGCCTCCTCGTTGGCTCCAGCCTCTTGTCAGCCATGGCCTCTCTTGGAGGGGGCACCCCTCTCCCCTGAGGCCCAGGTGGGCCAGGACTCCAGCCTCTCAGATGCCCCTGCAGGCCTGGGGCTCCCTCTGGGAAGTTTGGGGCCCGGGGCCTGGTCCTCCCTCTTAGGCCCTCCTTGCATCGTGATCTGGAAGCTTTGATGGGTCACTGGGCCATCCCATGCCCCCTGTGGATGGAGGATGTGGATGCCCACGTGTGTCCGTCCTCCTGTCCATGCTGTGAGGCAGCCGACTTCTCTGTGTTTCTCCTGCCTTGAGGGTCTGAGCAGGGCCTCCACTGCCAGCAGCTCTGCTCCTCAAGTCCATCTCAAAGCACAAGGAGGTTTGGCCCAGGAGAAAGCCTGCTGTGGTGGTGGAGACACTCCTCCGCCCCCACCAGCCTCCCACCGCCGCCATCCCTGCCCCAGGAGAGGGCCTGAGCCATGTCCTGTAGGAGCAGCTAGAGATGCCAAAAGGGCAGGCTCAGGGCTGCTCGATCCTGTGCCCAAGTGTCCAACAGGCCTCTGGGGCAGAGTGACCTGGAGTCCACAGACTGACATGACTTCAAGTTTCCACGTCGGTGGCCAAAGGGCAGGGGCCATCTGGGAAAAGTGTTCTGGGCATGTACAAGGGTGGGCGTGTGGCCAAGGAAGCCTGCAGTGGAGGGAGCCCGAGGGGCCTTGGCCAACATGATTAATGCTGCCATCTTGACATGTGTCCTCTCGGATTTGTCCGTGGGAGGGTGGGGACAGAGCTTGCTGGGTTTGAGATTCAGTTTGGGCCCCATCATTTGAGGAGGAACCATTCTCAGAAATGAATGGGAGAGTGGCGGGGTGGCTGAGCCCTACCCTGCGTCACCATGGCACCAGGGGTTCCTTAACAGCCCTGGGTGGGGGGGAACCAGTATCCCCATATTGTGGTGGAGGAGACAGTCCTGGAGAGTTAAAATGACCGTCCAAGGTGACACAACTTAGAACAGGTAAGGCCAGAATCCCATGCATGCTCTGGCCCCAGTGTGTCCATGCGCCTTCCATAAGCAGCGGGAATGGCATGGCAGGTGGGGAGGGCTTCTGGGTCCCATACAGGGCTGGGCAGTGGGACTAGCAGGTCCCCTCACGGCCACATGGAGGCTCTGAGCCCCTGGCCTATGGAGGGACAGGCCCTCAGCCAGCAGATGCCTCTCCCCCATGGTGGCGGTCTGGCTTTGACTTCTCAGGGCTTTGGACCTGACCGAAGAGGCCCACCCCCATTCCTGCCACAGTGGGGCACCTGGGCTGAAAGCTAAAATACAGCCCCTGAGACCATAGATGTCCCTTCCTGTCTTTCAGTCCTTGGACCTCTGCCCTCTGCCCCCTGTGGGAAGGGCTTGGCAGCAGAGTCAGGGCAGGTCTGTAACTCCCATCTTTGTCCTACGAGTCTGCGTGGTCTTGGGTGTGTCCTAAGGGAGAAGGAGGTGAACCCCTGCTCCAGCCTGCATTAAATAAAAGTGGTGCCTCCTGAAAGCCAAGGGGTGTGTCTCTTCTCCAAACAGGGGTCTTCTGGAAAGAATTCTTGGGGTCTCAGTGATTCTGACACCTTGGAGGAAAGAAAAAGAAACTGCTTCCAAATGTTGGAACCCGGACTGGGCCCCCCACATTAACCTCTAGGACTGCCCCTCCTTTCTCCTCACTGAATAGCTGGCAAGTGCTTCCCTTGCTGGGGCAGAGGTCAGCTCCCACCTCTCCCTGGGCGCAGGGAGTATGAGTGCAACCCAGAAGAGCTGGGTCAGAAGTGGGGTACATGGCCCTACCCCAAATGCCCCAACAACCTCCTCTTCACCCTCCTGCAGGCCCACCTGGGAAAGCGGATTTGAGCTTTCATGCGGGCCCCTCCCTGTCCAGGAAGCCCCCCTGACCAGGGTGTCCCAGCCTCCCGGCTACACCTGGGCAACTCGAGATATCCTGGAATCTTCAGGAGGGGGTGGAGGGGGCTGGGAGTTCTGAGTAGAACAGCCAGTCAGAGTTCCACTCTCCCCACGGCCCTACACTGTACCCCCCAACTCCCCAGTGCAGAGGCAGTCCAGCTGCTTCCCCTCACCCCAGACAATGGAGGGAGGACGGAGGCCAACCCCAGTGGGGCAGATGGCCAGGCCTTCTCCACCCTCAGCTGAGCCACAGCCTGTGGTCAACCCTGGCTCCTGTCCCTTGACCTGAGGGATTACTGAGAACCCCGCCTTCCTGATGTCCCCCCCATGTCCTCCCCTTGTCTGTGGAGGACAGCCTGACTGCCCATTCACAGGGAAACAGGGGACGGGTCCCCTCCCCTTCCTGCCACCCCCTGCAGACCCACTCCTTCCTTCCTCCCTTGGACCTGAGCGGGTGAGGCCTCCCCCAGGCTGAGCCGGCCCTCCATCTCCTCTAGGGCCCTCCGTGAACCCTCAGCCCCTCCTTCCCAAGTATACATAGAAAGGTGCCCGACTCTCTCACATCCTTTAACAAACAGTAACACATACCACCCTTTTTTAGGGCGAAGGGATATACGCCATTTCCTGGAGCAGGGTCCATGGAACAGACTATCCTGCCAGGCCTCGGGACACACACTTGGCCAGCATCACAGTGACCCCTCCCATCAGGCTCCTTCCACAAACTCGACCTGCCTGAGGCTGGCCAGGATGGCCCCTGCAGCACACGGGCCTCACTGACTCCACATGGCACATGGCTTTCACTCACAAACCCTCTCTAGTGTCACAGCAATGCTATACCATAGGCAGAGCAGGAATCATGATTCTCTCTCCTGATGAGATGAAGGGCCGGGGCCAAGGGGTGGGCAGTGATCTATGAAGGGCTACACGGCACATGAGCACCAGGCCCCAGGTGCCCCGGGCCCATCCAGACTCTTGTCAAGGCAACCTCCTCCCAAACTGCTGTCCTCGTCCATGAAGCCAAATCCCCTCCCCCGCCCCATGGACGCCAGGTCCTGCAGCCCTTTGTAGAGGCAGCAAACGATCAGGCACCAGCCTACGGAGTGGCTTCCCTCTCCTGGAGGAGTGGCCTCCTCCAGGAGGCCAAGCTGACCCAGAGCTGCCTCATTCTCCTCCACCCCAACAGGCCTGCCCAGTTCCACCACGCCCCGCCCCACCGGGCCCCCTCCAAGGCAGGTGCATTGTTGAGTGAAAACCACCCTGACTCAAGCCAGACCACAGACAGAGGGCCACATGCTGTCCACACACACCACACGGTCCATGGAGACACAGACCCGTCATGCATAGACAGACCGCTGTCACAAAGAAATGATCACATAGAGACACAAAGAGATGCGGACACACAAGGCATATAACCAGACACACCAAGTCCCACAACGACACGTCTGCTGTCAAGCAGGAACACAGACACAGCACAGAGTCACACAGAGGCAGGAGGGAAACCTAGACCTCTAAGCCGTGCAGTCACATTCTTGGTCACACACCCACCCCAATGCTATGCCGTCACCGTGTCCCATGCACTCCCACACTCCCACACCGGTACCCTGCAATGCCTGCACGCTCACAACCACCAGATTACACCCTGTGTCCCTGGGGCAGGCAACCCCACACACACACCACCCTCACACCTGTGCATCGTTCAGGTGCACGGCTCACGCCAAGTCACCCTCAATCCAGGCACACAGATCCTGGAGATGTACATAGTTGATTCCACGCATACTCCTGCCTCCTCCCTCTTTCCTTCCCTGCCAGGGCTGGTCCAAGAGTGGAACAAAAGCCCAGCGTCCCCTCCTCCCCTTCTCTCCCCTCCCCTCCCCCCTGGCGTCCAGCCCCTTTGTCCTCCTGCAGCTGAGCCTGAGCGGAGTCCGGGCAGAGCGGCAGGGACACTGGAGCTCAGGCTGCCCAGGACAGACAGGAGTGGTCCCTGTGAGAGCAGCAGCTGCGGGCACCTGGGAGAGGGCGTGGCCAGGTAAGTGCCAGGTACCTCGGGGGCGGGACTTAGGACAGGGGGCTGCCCTGGCTGTGTGGTGTCTACAAGTCTGAGCGTGTGTTTCTGTGAGAGGGTGTAGGTGTGAAAAAGAGACAGGGTGGCATGTCAACTTCTAGGGGCCGGGTCACTCAGTCCACATCAGGACCCAAGGCTTAGGGCGCCTAGACTCTTAGCTGGGATGGGAGAACGCCGGATCCAGCTCCGCCTGGGAATCCTCACCTTCCTTGTTCCAACTACACATCCTCCGGCCCCCGGACTGGGAATTCCAGGGTGGGAACTGGGTCCGATGTTCCCGTGTGTCCACAGTGCCCAGAGCCATAGACGGCAGTGGAATGAACGAAAAAGTACTTGTGCACTCCCCAGGAGGGGACTCCCTCCTCCCCTAGTCAGCCCCGTGCCAGGGGACGTCTCTGCAGGCAGAAGCCCCTCCTCATGCTGATAAGTCTGCCTCCTGGATCTCAGCTCAGAGTGCAGCCACTTCCTCAGCCAGGGGAGAAGAGAATGGGGGCAGCATGCTCTGATGACTTCTCTCACCTCCCTTCTCTGGTCCTGGGCTGCTCCTCGGGACACGCCCCCACTCTAGCAAGTGTGGCTGAGCTGCTAGGCGCAGGGTCTGGAGCCAGGTGGGTTCAGAGCCCAGCCCTTCTACTTGGGCAAAGTAGTTAGCTTCCCGGGACCCTGCCCATTTCCTGTGATTCTGAGGCAGGGGACCCACTGGTCATCCACTGCCCAGGATGACCCAGGCACGATCAGTGAAAGCCAGGGTGACACTGGGCAAGATCTGATCTCCAGGGCAGAGCGGTCTCAGAGGAGGCAGAGCAGCTAGGGTCAGGAGAATGGAGGGAGAGGCAAGGGGCAGAGGCCAGCGGTGCACACCCCTAGAGTAAGTTGCCACATAAAGGAGTGAGCTCCCTGTCCCTGGAGGTGTCTGTTCTAAACAGCCAGATCACAACCAGCACAGTACAGCCCTTCAGTCTATCGGGGTGCTTTCATGAACACCCCTCCTTCGATCCTCACAGCACCTCTGAAGGGCAGGTTCCCTCTGCGTGCTCGTTTGCTCACGACAAACTTAAAACAGAAGGGTGAGGGGCTCTAAAGAAACTTCTCAGGGCTGTGGGGATCCAGTGAAATGCTGTACAAAAAAGCACCTCGCACATGTGGCGTGCTCCCTTTCTCTTGAGTGAAAGCAACGTCAGGAAACGTTTGTTGAGTTTGTACTATGTACCCAGCACTTTTCATGCATCCCATTTAACAGTCACAGCAACCCTGTGAGGTAGGCCTTATGAGCCCATTTCAGATGAGGAAACTGAAGAGGAGTCACACAGGTCACACAGCGAGTCAGTGATAGAGGTAGATTCAAACCCGGATCAGTCCTCAGAGCCAGCTCTTTTCCCTTCCCCACAGTGCTTCCTTGAGAACACAGAGAACTCACTAGAGGGCCAAATGCCCTCAGCCTGGGCTCTAATTTCTTGCTCTCCCTCCCTCTGGGCCTTTGCACAGGCTGTTCTCTCAGCTGCAGACTTCCTCCCTCCACTTCCTTCTCTTCACCTGGCTAGTCTTACCTATCCTTCTCAGTCTGAAGGTCCCCTTGCCAGGGACACCGTCCCTGACTCCCCTCCAACTGGGTTTAGTGCCCCTTCTATGAGCTCTCCTAATACTCTGTCTGGTGGTCTAGTGGTTAAGATTTGGCACTGTCACCACCACGGCCCAGGTTTGTTTCCTCGGCAAGGAACCACACCACCTGTCTGTCGGTTCTCATACTGTGGTGGCTGTGTGTTGCCGTGATGCTGAAAGCTATGCCACCAGTATTTCAAATACCAGCAGGGTCACCCACACTGGAGAGGTATCAGGGGAGCTGCCAGACTAAGCCACACTAGGAAGAAGGACGCGGCCACCCACTCCGAAAACACTGGCCATGAAAATTCTATGAATAGCAGCCGACCACTGTCTGATATAGCACCAAAAGATGAGAGGATGGTGCAAAAAGACTGGGCAGGGTTCTGCTCTGCTGTACACAGGGTCGCTGCGAGTGGGAATCTAAGCCACAGCACCACCACCACCAATACGCTGTACTTCCCTACGGGACCCCCGCCAAGCTGTGAGCTCCAGGAGGGGAGGGACTAGGACTGTCTTGCTCACTGCCTGGCACAGAAAAGTCTCTCAATAAATACCGTTTAATATATTCACTCGACCTTGAACAGGTTTTGAGCACCTACAATGGGCCAGATTCTGTGCTGCCGGAGGAAGGGCAGATATTTAACAGACCCATCCGAGTTTGGTCAATGGGAAGCGCCTAGAGGAGATCCGCAGGAGACCCGGATGGGCTGAGGAGAGGGAGGCAGAGTTATACCCCCCCACACACTGGGTCTCTGTGGGGTAGCCTGAATCCCTCGACCAAAGGCTACAGCTCCTGTCAGGGGCCCTCCCTAGACAGATATTTTGAGCACGTCCCAGTAACCTCCCAGCCCTCTCCTTTCAGACCTGGGAGAGGTAAAATCTCCCTGCTGTTGGTGCCACGTGGCACTGCTCTATCCCTTGGGGGGGGGGAGTCCCTAAACACTGTCTACGCTTTTGTAAATCGCTCCTTTATTAGACTCTCCTCAAATTACCCCATTTGAGAGCGTGCCATCTGTCTCCTGCTGACACTGATAGGAAAAAGCTTAGCGAGTCTGAAGAACAGAAAGGGCAACATGGCTGAGTGGGGAAGCCAGGGAGAAAAGGTGGTACAGCTCAGGCAGGGCCCAGCCCTTCAGGTAGGCAGGGACTAGATCGCTGCAGCCATCAGGAACTCGGCTGGGTGGATGGAAGGAAGAGTGTTGCCGAATGAAAGCGCACTCGTTGCGTTCACGCACGCCTGCATGAGGAAACTAGTGAAGAAACGGGGGAACGAGTGGATGGGGGCCTCCCGCCGTCTAATCCAGCCCCGGCCACGCGGGTCTCCCGACGCTATCTGTGTTCTCTACCCAGCAGGATGCGGGAGGGCCCCGTGCCGGAAGAGTCGGAGTCGGACCCGGGCTCCGGGGCGCCGTGCGCGGGCTCCTGCCACGCGCAGCGCGTCCTGCAGACCCTCAACGCTTACCGGCGGAGCGGCACCCTCACCGACGTGGTGCTGCGCGCCGGCGGCCGCGACTTCCCGTGCCACCGCGCGGCGCTCAGCGCGGGCAGCGCCTACTTCCGCAGCCTGTTCGCCGCCGGGCGGCCCGAGTGCGGCCTGGCCCTGG